TTTTTTTTTTGCCACTTCAGTAGAAAACAGAACTGAATATCAGATTCTTAACTTCTTAATCATCAGTGGCAAAAGAAATTTTTTTTTTTTTAAAAAACTACCGTATTATTGAAAAAAACTGATTGAAATTGAATATTTTGCAGTGCGTTTCAAAATTAAAATAAAAAAGAGAGATTTGCATTTTCTCAGTGCCAGACTTGATTTATTACATAAGAGTTTATATTATTAACAAGTTTGTGGTCAAGCTCTGTAAAAAAAAACAAAATAAAAAGTAAGCAGACTTTCAAGAGATTTAAGGAATTCTTCATTAGACAAGATGTTGGAAAATCATTGCTCATTAAAATTAGTCTTTAAGTTTATTTTTGCCAACCCCTCATAGGCTTATCTGATTTTATATTTTGAGGCTTTTTTGTACTATGATAGTGTTTTTTCACGTTTCAACACATGTATGATGGTGTCAAAACAGTTATCTGTTTCTCCACACTGCAGCCCAGTGATCTGAGGAAACACAGGAGAAAGGTACAACAGTCTCTACATATCTTTGCTTTAATGTCCCATATATTCAGTTCATTGCTATAATGACACAACATACTGAAGGTATTGACTAACGTTGCRCTCCCCTCGGCCCTCAGATAGCAGCAGTGGACGAGGACGGCCGAGAGGACAAGGCCACCATTAAGTGCGAGACATCCCCCCCTCCAACGCCGCGCACCGTCCGAATGACGCACACACTGCCAGCCTCCTCGCACAACGACGCGCGAGGGTACGTCTCTGCTCCGACCTTACGTGCGAGAAGTGGGCGGCCCAGTTCCGTTTTATTTTGTAGCGTCTGTATATTTGTGTCATCAGGATCGTGGCCTCGCTGGAGGCTGAAGCCAGTGCTTTAAGTAGCGTAGCCAGCAGCCAGGACTCCCTCCACAAGCAGCCGAAGAAGAAGGGGATCAAATCGTCCATCGGTCGGCTGTTTGGCAAAAAAGAAAAGGGCCGACTCGCCCATTTAGCACACAGACAGGTCATGGTCGATCCACAAGGTGAGGGCTGCTCTGACATTTGCATCCGTTCATCTAATAAATGAAAAATATAAAAACTCAAAAGACATTATTTCAATATAGCATCTCTATTTTAAATCATTATCATAAAAACTTGTGAAAGTTTACAATTTGCTCATTTTTGTTTCTTGTGCACAAAATTAAAAACTAATTATCAGAGGAACTTACTTGATTTCACGCTTTTTACATAGAAAATCACTTAAATTAAACATTTTACTGTTAAACAACAAATGTGACCCATCACATCGAAATGAGGATTAAGTCCAAAAGTGTGATGTGGAGAAATAGGCAGGTTTGATTTAGACGTGTGCAAAAATTGCATTTTGTCAAAATATAATGAATTAATGCATTATCAATGTATCATTTGAATAAACTGTGAAATATAATCCTAAAAAACATTTTTGAAGCACTTTTTTGAGCAGCAGCAACAAAAAAAAACCTGGTTTTGAGGAAAAATGCCTCAAAATCAGTGAAAATTTTTGAATTTTTCACTGTGAGTTAGCAACGTTTTTGTTTCTTTCCAACTGGGAAATCTTCATATACAAATACTATGAGGTTTCCTCTTTATAATGACATCAAAAAATACTCAAATTTACATAAAAGTAGGATTCAGACCAAACAGTGATGTATTACCGTAACCAACAAGACAAATTAAGTCATACCTCTGGGTAAGCTTATGATATCAGAATGATCCAGGTATCAAAATGTAGCTTTTAAAGCCAATAATTTGAAAATGCAATTAGGTCATTTTGTTCAAATTTGACTTAATCCTCATTTCGAWATGATGGGTCACAAATAGTCAAAATTTACATTTATCAAATTGATATACGTTWGATGTCAAAATTCAATTGAGAAAACCAACTTAAATAGTTCATATAAGCCAAATTTTTAGATATCTGCCACTAATGAACAGTGCTTATTAGCATGATAGCTATTTATGTGCTAAAAATAAAATAATTCATCAAATAATTCCATTATTTAAATGATTAGATATGATCAAGTTAATATTTGTCATTTGAAAACTAACCATCTAAGCAGGACGTTTATCATAAACAGCTTTTTATATACTCGACTTAACACTGAAACAAAAAGTTACCTTGAATTTTAAACCGACTTCTTTTAACTAAACTCGTGTTGTCTTTTCCTGCTGACACATGTTCTTCATCAGCCACAATGATGGACCAAGACTTGTCGGGCCAGGACATGGGGGTCGGCAAGTTGGGAACTCAAGCTGAGAAGGATCGCAGATTAAAAAAGAAGTAAGCTTTAATCCAGGAACCACCTCACACTTTCGGCTGGATTTACACTCACTGCCACCTTCTGGTGTCATCTACCCTGAGCTTTGAAACCCAAACAATGGCGTTAGCCTCCATCTACTGTGTTTGCTTTATACTCCCCCCTCTGTACTGTATGTAATACTAAATCCCATGCGGAGAACAGGATCAATAGAAAGCAGAAGCTGGATCAGTGTCCAGGAGCGGATATCAGTCTCGCTGCATTCAGACACACAGCCAAAGTCAGACTATTGATCCTGCCTGAAAAGCCAATTAATTCCACAGAAGTGCTTTATCAAACTGGAAGCTATAGATGGCTTTTCCAGCTCCTAGATTACACTCACACGCTCAGCATTGGGTGCCCTCCAGTAAAAAAAAAGGGAAGCCTCTCACAAATCAGAGTTGTACAGTTTGTGTGTGCTTGTGTGTATGTGTGCATATGCCATGCCTCCAGTGCCAAATGATGACTGTCATTTGCTCGAAGTGCTCATTGACTTGTCATGATGAATAACTTTGCCTCCCATGTAGTTTGGTTGATATAACCGTGTTTGTTGTACGTTTTTGACCAAAATGTGCCGTTTTCCTCCCACTGCGCTGACTTCTCCGTAGCAGTGTCCAGGACTCAGGCCCACGCCACCACATGCATCTTGGCGCCTCCTTCCACCGTTTGCATGCCATTAAGCTGCCTGCACTGTTTCCATTTCAGCATCTTGATCGATCAAAACCGCTGTGGTCTCATTGTAGAACTAGTGTTTTTTTTTTTTTCCTTCAAGTAAAAGTCTCTGAATGTAACCGGGCATTTGAATGTAAGGCCGTGGAAGTGGCTTCATTTCTTCTGCTGCACGCGATGTGGTCAGGACTGCATTGTAGAAGACGACATTTTCTTTCACTGGTCTACAGATGCTCCTGCCAATGAATGTACTTCATAGTGAGATACGTGTGTGTGAGTGTGTGCATGTTTGGAGTCGTATTGCTAATTGCTTAATAACTCATTAACATTTGTGTACTTTTGTCTCCCCGTCGCTCTCTCTCTCTCTCTCTCTCTCCCTCTCTTCTTCTGCTCTCTGACTCTTTCCTCTCTGACCCTTCCTCTCCCTCTCATCATCCTCTGACTCTAACAAAGCGGGTAAGTTGTGAGGACGTCTAACTGACCTCCTGGATATGACCATTGTCTCAGCCGTTTTTGCCCTGTCTGCCATCTCTCCTGTGTGTCCACCATGTCCTGAAAGACCAGTGCCAAAGCTGACGTCTCTTATCTATCAGTCTGTCTATCCTTTATGGCTGTTAATGAAGCCATTTCTTCCTTCTTTTTTTTTTTCCATGTGCCATATAAGGATGTTTCTTCCCCACTTTTTACAGTTTGATAGCAGCTGCTGGACTGTGCCGCCGCTAAATCCGGGGCCTAAATTTCATGCCCCGAATGCCGTCTCTCCTTTTCTGTGTATTTTTCAATTTATTTTATATATATATACATATATTTTTGTGTGAAATAACCAGATGCAATGCCTGGTTATGGGAGTATCAAAGGTTCTTTTAGTTTGTATGATTTGTCGTAACCTTTTTCTATACTTCCCTTTCCCCAGCTTTGTTCAGTGGATGTATTTCTCCATGCATTGAAACATGAGCTATCCCCCGCCCCACGTGCTGAATAGATAAAGACAGCGAATGTACCTGGTTGTAATCGAATGGACACATTTCTTCTATCATCTGTAGGCTTTTCTTTGCCATGTATGCTGTGTTCAAGTACCCTTTCTCACTGTTCTGAGGCCTTCTTTTGCTGAGGTGCTACACATGTCATGTTTATTTCCAAGCCCACTCCTTCAGCTTGTCAACGTCTTTTGACAACACACTCAAGGAAAGGGTCATAAATTTCTGTGTGTGTGTTTTTATTTTTGATGAAATGTGTTCACAAAACAGAAAAYAACCGTTTTTGTGGGTGTGAGTGAGAACGTGTTTGGAAGGCACTTTTTGGCTGTTTATCTGTACTCTTCCTCGGTGTGGGAGGGTTTGGTACAAGACAAATAGCTCAATTTATGGCAAACTAAGAGGGTCTTCTTACTGCTCCTAGTCAAAAACATGCAATTTACATGACACGGACTAGGTCCGCTCCAAACAGATTCTGACTCAGGTCTCTCAGGATACACTTCACCACCTGCCATAGTAAAACGTGGAACACACAACACAAAACAAATCAAAGAAGTTGCACTTAAAATATCTTTACTGCATGATTCAAACACCGCTGTGTATCAGCAGAGTAATGTGTGAGCGCCTGAACTGGGATGAGTTGGATAAGAAAGTGTGGGGTCCAACTTCACTGAGCAGCTACTGCAGCAAAGTACCGTCCAGGTGTGTGTGTGTGTGTGTGTGTGTGTGTGTGTGTGTGTGTGTGTGTG